GACTTCATCGCGAGTTTCGCGGAGGCTTCGCCTATGGAGCGCGGTATCGACACATCGGTCACGAAGATCGCTGCCTGCGATCCTTTGGTGAAAGAGGCATACCAGATCTTCGAAAGGGCACACAAAGCCGGGGACGAGCTGCCTGACGAAGTCACCTGGGACAGCGTCTTCAAGTCGCACGAGAGCGAAAACACCACCTACTGGTTGTGCAATGTCTATGACCAGACGAAGCGGAGTTTCCACCGCGTGTTGACATACCGCGTCCACACTTCTTCCCTTCACTTCATCGGACGTGGCACGCAAGGCTTTGTCGGGGTTGATGTCGATGAAAAGGCCGTCACGTACATGAAGCGCAGTTGGCGCATCGACCCCGAGACTTTCCCCATCGAGCGCGGCATCTACGCTAGCCTTGAATTCGCGACCGAGGGCGACGAGCAATGCCACAAGCAGACGTGACCGTCCATCGCCGTATGTGCGGCACTAAAGTCATCTCTATTGTGGACTATCAACAACGGTCACGTGCAGCAGCTCTAAATCACCGCTTGCACCGGTTCGCACACCGACAACGGCATACGTAGTCCGTCGGTGTCGTACGCGTAGTGCTTGTTGGAAACTTGGATGGTGTACCGTTTGTGTTGTTCGTCGGGCGAACTGCCTCCCATCCGTATAACCTCCCGTTCCGTCGCATTCGCTGGCGTGCTTACATATTTGCACTGTGGACTCGACAACCTTCGACTCCTCATTTTCCGGTATCTCTTCAATGTGCATCGATTTTCCTCCGCTCATACTCATCCCGCTGTCACCACTCGGTCTTCTGTCGCCACCTTCCCCCCTTCGTTCTCCCATATCTTCTCCGCTCATAACTTCATGTATTGATCTACCCATGAATACTACACGGTTGTTCCTTCTACACGTTTGTTCCACCACTACATTCTTATCAGATCCGTTCATCCGTGGACGTGTGATGAATTGCTCGCGTGAGCGAGCGAAGAGGTAGAGTCGTTTTGCGCTCGTCTTGTACTACATCTCGAGATGTGCGGCCATGTACACTTGTTACTCAAGGTACGGTCTCCTTGTGGCCGTGAAGCGTGAATGTCCAATACATTGTTGGGTTATTCTCAAGATATATACTTTCTACAACTGATAGGCAGGCTGCTGAACCACTATTCAGCGGGCTAGTATGCAAGAATCAGGAGCCTCGCAGATACTAGCTTGTCCGCAAGCCAAATCTTGCGCGCTAATGGTTGCTAATTGGTGGGTATGTTCAACAAACTACAGGAGTGTGAGGCTCTCGGTTGACTGCGCGGCAATCGACGATGACATACGCGTGTAGGTGTTGTGCCTCCTCCTCAACTTGTTGTAGACGGAGAAGGAGCTGTCTATGCGACAGTTCCAGGTAGCGAATGTGTGACGTTGCCTTTCCAACTACTGCAGCTTTACTCAAGCTTGTATGGGACTGTGGGAGAACGTCCTGCAAACGGCGGTAACAATCACGGAGGGTGTCTCGACGTCGGTGCTCTATCTCCGCGCGCAGCCGCCGATACTCCTCGCCGGGGTCATTCAAGCTGCAGGAAAGAACGGATCAGGAACGGTGCATTTCAAGGACTCTATGGTATTAGAACATACTCGGCAGCGCCACAACCTTGAGATAGCGCGACTTTTTTGCCAACGATAGTTATGGAATCCGGACCACGGATGCCGCTCTGAGCTTTTGTCTTCCCTGTCCGGCGAAACCTCATGTTCGTCAACCCATCAAAGCCGCCCGCGGAGGTCTGGGCGAGGGAAGGTAATGAATCGGCGGTATTGGGAGCAGGGGCCAACTCCTCCGAACCAACGGCGGCTGCGCAAGATACCAGCGCGCGAGAGCAGTCATCGGCATGGATTGGAGACATGACCGGCCGATTGGTAGACAGCTCCGGTGTCAATGTGCATCCTGACTTAGGGGAGCCCAGGGCAGGCAAACAAGCTGTTCCATTGCGGTGAGGTAGGATTGTGTTATGACAGAAGCGTGACTAAGCCGTACTACGTATGCTGTTGACTACATCGAAGGAATCCATGTGCCGACTGTCGGGAGGATGTACAAGAAGACGTAGATCGTGGAAGAGCGCAGGCCACGGCCGTGCAATATTGTCGCAATAAGGGAACAGGATGGTCCTTTTGTGGGTTGGCCGTTCGAGCGTTAAATGCTTTAGCGAGGATTGTGGCAGATGCGGATAAGTCCAACGCACGAGCACCATATATATGCTAGAAGCAAGATAGAAGCCATGTTCTCACACGAGGTATCGTTCTTGCGAATGTCTATCTTTTGCCGCTTGCGAAATCGGACGAACACAGCGCACGGGCGCGACGGTTTTGTGACGATAAGTGTGGTCACTACGGCCAGCGGGAGAGAGCGGGCGAATGACATTCGCCTGACAGCGGTGGTGGGAGAACGCGTGCGCTGGTGCGCAAACGTCGTCGACGACCAGTGAAAAGCGCTCGCGGGCGCGAAATCTTGTCACAGGCAACGCGGTGCGCGCGACGCGACGCGACGCCTTTTTGCGCGCGCATACCACTTGCCGCGTTGACGCTATTCTCTTCTGTCCCTCATGAACCGCTTCGCGCAAAGATGCCTGCTGCACTATTTCTTCTCGTCGATGGAAAACCGTGACGGTGCCGGGACAGTGGACGGATAAGTAGTACAGAAAAGTGTGAGCTGTCGAGATATACGCGCTGCGCTTTGTCCGCGCGCGTCATCGTGATTCATCCGCTGTCTCCCGTTGGCTCACCAGGTACACATACGGTCTCGGTTGGGAGCTTGTGCTTCCTTTGCCTGAAAACAGATGCACATGACACATCATGTCAATTTCAGAAAACTCCGTGGTCTCAGCTGCCGAATAGAATGTGAAAGCGCTCACTAAGCCATGAACCACAGGTACGTGCACTCATCAGTGTTCTGATTTGATCAAAGTCGACTGAGTCCGCTCAGTGGTTTGTCGAAGTCTTGCCGATAGACGTGTTCGTCGCGCCATTCAGTTCTTCGGGCCTGGGTACCCATAGTACGTTCCATCCTCTGTGCAGATATGTATAGCTGTGCGCGCTGGGGATTCGGACAGATCGATCTCGTCGGACGCTGGGCTTGACCGATCATTCCACAAGGATTCTGGCCGCCACTACTGTCCATGTTATAGCCCCAAACCCATGCGATTCTGTCGGTTTCGTCGGCCTCCTATTGGGAATGGGTACATTTGGTGATGCGAAGTAGCTCCACTGGATCAGGAGACGCAGACGTTGCCAACTCGAGCGAAAGAAGACAACCCAATTTGCTGGCATGACAGTGGGCTGTCAGCGCCAAGGTCGGCGCTCATCTGTCAAGATGAGAGACTGGGCCGGAGCATCTTCACCGGTTCGCCAAGGTTCGGCGCTGAGTGCAACCCTGAGAGCACCATACAGCGAAAATGTGTTGCATGGTGTCATCTTCCCGTACTAGCTAATCTCAGCTGGCAGAAGCACACTGTCCTAGGAGCCACAGTTGCCTACCGGGAGAGTATGAGGTGATCCCCCGGTATTCACGCACGGCATCCTACAGCAGTCAAGCTTGGTACGACCATCTCCCACTGGGAGCGTTTCTATCATGATCACCTCAACCTTCATCTTATAAATGATCGTATTGCATGAAACGTGGTGACTACCTCCTTGCAGCAGGCGACAAATCGATCCATGTCCAACGCTTCGTTGTTGCACTTCTGGAATCCGTGTCTTCCAGCGGCCATTCATGTCGTTGAGGAATTGGAGCGCGCCACAGATAACGACTTCGAGCCCGTACTTTCTCCCATGAGATCAATGGCCACCTCGAGGAACATGGCTCCTGTGGTTGGGCAGTCTCCGTTTCCTACTCGCGGGATCATATATGTCAAGATAACGAATATACTTTGGCTCCTTGTAGAACTGGTACAGAAGGAGAGGGCGGTAAGCAAAGCTCCCAGTGCAAGTTCATCGTGGCGTACTGAGAGACGCATCGAAAGCACTCCAAGCTATGGCTGCAGACGACCAACATCGTATACGGCATGTATAGTGCGAGGGTATACGATGTGATCGGCATCCAAGGCAGATTTGTACGCGAAATGGAGCGCGCATCCCATTTTGTCAGGTACCTCGAGCCATTAAACCAACTTGCACACCATATCCATACGCACCGCTCAACCTCGGGCTCGACGGCGACTGAAGGCGAAGTCCGGCGATTTCTATGCGCCACACTGTACCAGATCTTTATACACCGCCTGTACGTTTCATCTGAGAGAGTACATCAGACCTATCCTGATATCTACATGCCAGGACGAGTGGTCAGCGTGCCGGGCCATTCTACCGTCAGCTACGCAGCCCCCGCTCCGCAAGTTATCTGGGCTTACTACTCGTGGAACTATCGTCGCGACGTCACACGTTCTCCATGGGTATAGAGCCCGTGAATCTTCTCGATATAGCCGAGCAGATATCGCACCCCGTTGAAGGCATGCAGGTCCAGTCCGCGTTCGTGGCAAAGTTACTGGCGGATGGCACTATATCTCCAGTCTCAGTCAAGGGACTATCGGTAGTACAACTACACGCGCTGCGTCCCGCATCATGGATCTGGCCTAATTTGCGTACGTTCTGTTTCGCATGCCTCAAGGAGTCCCCAAGCCCCGAGCACAACCGTCCGCATTGCGCCGTCTGTCAACGTTCGCTGTATTGCAGTCGCGAGTGCCAGAAAAGGCAAGTTCATGTATCTTTAGGAATGCACGCCTTGCGATAACCTTGCTTGTACAGAGATTGGAAAAGGGGGCACAAGCGCGTGTGCCCTGTCTTCAAACTTGTGAACGTCCGCATTCATTCCCCGCAGGTCAAGGAGTCTATCAGAAAACTACCCCGTGGGGTGAAGGCTGGATATCTTGAGAGACAAGTGTAATATGTAGTTTATCGGCGAACTTGAAGTGTGAAACCTAGTGCTTAGGGTATTCTTCCCTGTTTGGAAGCGGACAACCTGGGCTACGTGCCACCTAGCAAACTGGTACACGGTAGAGCATCGACCTCAGTGGATGTACACACGGGCTTAGTCTCGGCGATATCCGCGGTCCCATCACGCGTCGCGCCCCATCACGCCGCCGCGCGTCTTCGGTGACGACGACGCAGTCCACGTCGAGTCCAGGTTTCCGTCGCTGTCATGGCCCAGATTCGATGCCTGCTGCGCTACTTCTATGAATATATGAAGGTCAAGCAAGGAATCAACAGAAGTGACAATCATCTCATGTGCTTTTTCATCAATCAGGTAGGTTTATGTACATGTCTTGGTCTTTGAGCAGATCTCTCAGGCTGCAGCCTAGGCACAGCGCTCAAGCGCTCAAGACTCAAGTATCTTGACTGGCGCGCGACCTGCGGACTCCGCGTTCTGCTACGACCAGGCCTGCCGAGTGGTATGAGGCGCGGGCGCCTCAAATACCGTACAGGCTTCATCGACAAGACTGCACTCGGTTGCAGTCACGAAGCGTGAAGCTGTTGAAGCCCCGGGCGTGAGAAGTTGCTACGAGGGACCAACTTTCAGAGGTCAGTCTCTTCTCTTGACGATCACTATGCAGGTCCATACTTCTCAAGTTTCCCCTACGCTATCAAGGCAGAAACGTCCCACATATCCTCTTTCCCTTTGCACCGATGACCGTGTCGTCTTTGATGCGGCATCATACACGCGCGCCATACTTGGCCCTCCCGCCTCATGGTCAGAAGAATGGCTATTCAGCGCGCTCACGTCCACCGAGCAAGCAACCGGACGACTATCTGGTCGTTCTGACTCTGCTATCACGTCCTATCTTGATGAATGGAAGACATTGGGGCGGGATCAAGAGAACCTCGTGAGCGTACAGACTCACGCTTGTAGCTGGTAATGGCTGAATGTGGACGCAGTGTCGGGATTACGCTTGCTGTGGCCTCGGCTTGAAAGACCTACACGCGCTCACGGAACACTTCGAAGATATGCACGTCGAAGCCACCGAATTGCCCGTGGAATATCTCGACCCCCAAATTCCCGAAGCAATGGTTCAACCGGAGTGTCTCAATCCAGCTGTCGTTCAACCTCTTTACAATCGATCTCTCTTCACTACCCCCGCTCCCGACCTCGCTCCTCAGCCGCCAATCAATGCTCAAGCGCACGCGCTGTAAGCACAGCATGTCTCTTCGTCGTGTTCCATGTTCTCACAAGAGCCAAGCCCTTACCCCGGAGACTCCCTAGTCCTGCTGCAAATCCCCGCGGCCGCTTCTCTAGCAAATCCTTGCATCGATGGTCCAGTCATGCAGATGTCTGGTATCCTACGCACGGCCCCTCCAACTGCGCCGTCCTCTACAGGTGCAATTGGCGCGCCACCGAACACCACATCCGGGACGTCCTCTCTCCGAGCTATCTCGATACTTCGATCGAAGCCTTTTCGATGTCCAAAACCCCATTGCTCGAAGTCCTACAAGCAGGCGAATGGGCTCAGATACCATATGGCACATGGCTCGTGCTCATTTGCTGCAGCCAAGGATCACAACGTCATGCGCGCGTTGCTTCTCGAGAAGGGACTTAGCACTGAGGACATTATTTCTGAGAGCGACGCATGCGACTTGGAGCGAGAGATGGATCAGCGCGTTCGTCCGTTCATATGCGGCGTTGACGAGTGCAAGCGCCGATATACGGATCTCAACGGATTGCGGTACCACCATCAGCATTCAGGTCAGCACGGTGCCAGATGTCGACATCTCCTTACAACTGGTCAATACAGATACCCACCAGCACGCCGTCGTCACAGGCTCCGTCATGGTACAAAGAGACAGGAGCTGTTGCAAGCGAGGTCGTGAGAAGACCATTCAATTCCTGTTCTCCGTGCACCTTCCACCCTCTCGCCAGCAACCGGGGAAGCCGGATAGTGGCTCTACGTTTAGTGGCCTCGATACGCGTGACTCATATTCATTTCTTGATACTCTAACACTGGTCATCTATCTCTACCTCAATATCTTCTCCTCGATCATATGTTTCTAGCATCTGCCTCCCTCTTCTCTCATCATCACCTACGACTTCTGTAACTCTACCCGCCCCTACTACTCTTCTAGGTCTCTTATTCTTATATGGCTACATGCGATGGTCTACATGATGACTTTTCCGATACCGGTTATTTTTTTACCCTGTACCCTGGGCGCCAGAACATCCAGCTTCATCGGACCGTGATCTCTGTGGGGCGCTCGAGGCGGCGCTCTACTTTCACATGGGCTTATTTATTGCCCGATGGCCTTCTCTTCATGCTTTCGGTGCATTTCCAGGCAAGTAATACTATTCGAAGCATCAAGAAATAAAACTATAGTACACAGCAAGAAGACCACGAGAGGGCGAGAGACATGACATTGCTACCGGTGCATTCATTCGTCAGGCGAACGACGAGCACGCTTGGAAGGTCCCGCTTCGGTGTCGAGATGCGACGCGTCGCGCTTCTTCTCGTTGCCTTCAAGCGCTACAAGCGCCTGAAGAGCACGAGTGGCGGGAGTCGCATCGTAGCCGTCACGGGCGTTGAGGGCTTCGAGTATTGTACCGGTGAGATTGACGCCTTGGTCTTCGATGTTGTTATTGTCGCTGTCGCTGTCGTTGTCGTCCGTGCGAGCGGGAGGTACTGCAGACGCGATGTCCAAAACGGTCGTGAGTTCACGAGCAAGAGGAATGAAGAAGACGCCAAAAGATTCGTCGCCGTTGTAGGCCTCCAGGAGAGCGCGCGCAACTGCCGCGAGACCATGCGTGCCGTGCATCTTGACCACCTCTGCGAGCGTCGAACGGCGAAGGGAATGGATGCAGCGGGCAACATTGACGGAGAAATCGGGCTCCTTCTTGATGACGTCGTGGAAGTTCGGTCCGAAGCGCGACTTGGACACGATGTTCCCCATCAGCGAGGATTGCGCAGGCGCCTTGGCAGTCCCATCCTAGCGGTCGTCTAGTGAGTACGCATTAATAGAAGCAACTGGAGAACTGACCTTGAACTCGTTCCGAATCTCCCACGATAAGACTGCTGCCCAGAGTGCACCAACTTCGTGGCAGACGCGATCGGGCCAGTCGGAAGACGTCCGCAGAGCCGCTGCACCGAAATTCAGGGTGCGGAACATCCAGCGTTGCGGATGACCGGTCGGCTCCTTGTATCCGCCGCTCTTCCTCGCGGACGCGACGGCCTTGTGAGTTTTGGCGTCCGACTTGGGAGGCGCCTTCAGCGGTGAAACCGAGTTGTTCGCGCGCGCGTTGATTGACGCCCTCTGCGGCGAAGCCGACTTGCTCATGCGCTCCTTGATCAACGCCTTCAGCGGCGAACTCGACTTGTTGGCACGAGCCTCCAGGACGGTCCTGGGCGCACGCGGAGAGCCCACGAACATGAACGGGGCGTCGTCGCCGAAGTCGGCATGCGGGAGGGCATCGGGAGTCTTTCTGTGTGACCGACCGTGTGGCGGGGTAAGATCGCGGGCTACCCCGGCGTCGTCGATGTCGATGATAGCAGCCGAGCCCTTGCGAGGGCTCGGCGCCTCGCGAGCTACGCTCGCGTCCTGGCGCGCATCCTCCCCGATGAGCTCACGCTCGACGTCGCCAGTGTCATGTGCATCTTGATCACCGTTGTCGACAGCCACAGTAGGACTAGGTCTGCCGTCAGGTACGACGGGCTTGTCGGAAAGAACTTCGGGCGACGAAAGAACAGAGCACGGCGAGGAAGCGTGAGGCGACGGGCCCCGAGGAAGCGAAGCACGCAACAACGAAGATAAACGGAGATGGTCAGGAGGTGAGAGGCCGGATGACAATTTGGACAAGGCATCGGGAGCGGGTGCTGGCGCTGAATCCCGAGAAGGTGAGCGCATTGGGTCACTCGAGCTAGTTGTCGCCGCAGTAGATGCCGAACGGTGCAGAGCGTGCTTCTTGCACTGTGAAAGGAGCAACGCCGAGCGCTTGAGTTGTAGATCGGCGAGACGCGTCTCGGCCTCGCTAGCGCCGTTGACAGCCAAGGTAGCGCACTCGATCCGCTGTGTGAGCAGCGCGAGTTCGAGCTCTTGGTGTGTGATATCGCTCTGTGAGATAGTACTAGTTAGATGCATGAAAGACATAATATGCATAACGGAACGGACCTTTTGCAACTGATTCGATGCGCGTGCCGTCTCCTGTTGTATCTGCAACTCGACACGGTCGGCTCGAAGAGTCGCGAGCTCTTGCACAGCGAGCGGTTCGTTATTCGCCGTGGCGAGTTCTACCGCGATCTGGGCGTCACAAAGCTGGAGTTCGAGATCGTCGAGTCGATCCTGAATGGTTGGAAGCTATATGTATAGTGAATACAGAGAAGCGCAGGGTAAGGGCAGTACGTACCTCCGACATCGCGATACCGTGGTGGGAGGAGGTGAGCGGGGATATGAAAAGTCTCTGCTTTTATGTGTCGAACTTCAGCGCGACGTGGGAGCGATAACACCTGACCGCCATCAGCCAGTAGACTAGAACACTATAGACTGACGGGCGCAACACCACATACCTAATATAGTTCGCAGATCGACGCGTGAGCTTCTCGCTGATTTGATACAGCTTGAAGAACATTCGAGGACGTTCGGCCCCGGAGAACAGCCAGCACGGTGAGATCGCAGCAACCATTAAAGACTGTAAGAGGTTGCACAGACGGGCTGGCAGAGGAAGATGAAGAGAAATTGGACCAATGGATGTTGTTCGCAAGATGGGCGGGGACTGCGGCATCTCGTATAGGCATTTGATTTGGGTAGTTTTCGCCCACGGGGCCCAACGCGGCCATGTGACTTACGCGCGAATCTCATCATTCGTCATCCGCTACGACCGCTTCTCGTACATCCATCAAGATAATGCATTGCGGTACGTATAACAAAATAGCTACAGATGAGAGGCGGCGAGGAGCTTCTGTCCTGCCTGAGGGGCTGTAAGCAGGTCCTCCGCGGCGATGCGCACATACCCGCGCAGTACCAGTGCCGTCTCCCTTAGAGCGTCGACGTCCAATGCCTCGGCTCCCGCACCCGCGCCCGCGGCGCCCAGCACGTCGTCGAGATCAAACAGCAGTCCGCAGTTCCCGCTGCGGCGAAAAGCCGACCGGGCAAACTGGTACACCTTGTTGAGCTCAGTCACGCCCATTGCCGTGGCAGCGGTAAGTAGTTCATCAACGTGATTGAGCGCCTCGCAATTGGGCGGTCCGGTTGCGTCGAAGCGCAGGTGATGCGCTGGAGCGACGGGGCTAAGAGGCGATCAAACACGGCGCTCGTACAGCCGTCGACTTCACCGGAGATGTCCACAGAGGCCAGCAAAGGCAACTGGACTGGAAGAAGGGCCCTAAGCAATAGGCGTCAGCCGAAGGTACTCACGTATGAAAAACAGTCTCACCAGCCACGATATACGCTTCCGCCGAGCGTGGTACCAGAATACGGTACTTGCTCACGTATCCCTCGATCACAGCTTTCAGAATAAACCGCACTTTGCCGTGCAAGTACCCCGACTCCTGCGGCGTGAACCCAGCCTGAATGAGTTCCATGACCGTCTCGTGAAGATTGTCTGGCGCGCCGCGACCGCGCTCTCCGGATACGACAAACTTGGACGTCAGGTCCAGCTCGACGACGTCCGACTGGCTCTCCGTCTCGATGACCGTGTCCACAGTCCCTCCGGATGCTGTGTATGAGCGCTCTGCGTCGAGCCTGCCCGCAAGCCCCATAGCGCGCGCCGTGCCATCAGGGAGTATACGACGCAGACGTATCGAAGGCACGCTGCCTGCTCGGGCGGCGGTGGCCCAAAGAAGCGGCATCGCGTGCGGACGTGTCCAGTCGGTGAACGGTTGCGCCTCCGCGTGCAGACCAATTCCCATCAGATCTTCAAATGCCGAAGCGGGAACCCCGTTATGCGCGAGTTTCAAGGGTGGTTGCATTGCATACCCAGATGCCCGGATGCGAAGACGCGCGAAGGCTGTACGAGGGCGAAGATGCGGTCGACGCGGCTGAGCTCGTGCAGAATGATCTTCCGCTGGGAGCGGCGGGGTGTATGCACCTTGCGATTGCTGAAAGAGCTGCGCCGTACATGAAGCCTATGCCGTCGGTCATCTTCTGCTCGGTTGGCACGTTGCTACCAGGCTTGACGCCGTCAGGGACTAGAGCGCACACGTTTCATCGGCATCAGACATAACGACATCTGTGGGAGAGTACATACCGACGTCTTCAATGTAGTCTATGTTCTCCTCATCGAACTCCAGCACGGAGATTGAGGTGGACAGCCCGAGATCGAACCTCTTAACCCATTTACTCAACGCCTGAAACAATCACCTGTGCGGGATAACAACATCTGAGGCAGGAGAGCATACGCGCCTGTCGGTAGTTAAGCGCCAAAGGGTTGTGCTTCTTGATGAACTTCCAGAAGGGCTGCCGCAGTCCGTCTCCCATATCCGGCATTATCATAGGATCCCGCTCGTAGTCCTACGAACTTCCTCGCGAACAGCTCGAGCGGCGGCTCGTAGTGCTTGCGCTTCTGCGTGGCGTCTACCGGCGGAGGCGGTGCAGTCTTGAGTACGAGAAGCCGACGCGATCCCAGTTCTCGTGCAAACGCGTATGAGCGCTACATCTCTGGCGGGCTCGAGTACAAAGGTAAGTGGCCGCATCGAGCCGGAGCGATCAAGGCGTACGATAATCTGGATACGCCCGCCGAACCAGTCCTCGGCGCCTTCGAACGACCCCGAGAGAAGACCGAGTCCGCGACCATCGATCTCGAGGATCGCAGCCTGCGCGCGATCGAACTCTTCCCTGAGAATCATCAGTACACTGCTGAACTCGTAGAGAGCTGGAGTACTCACCAGAGTGGTGCGGCATGGTGCACAGGGTCGTATATATGCCCGCAATCCATGATCTTGTTCATGCGAGACGGCGTAACGTCTGCCCAAAACCACCTCCCGCATTTCACCCCGCGCGCGCAAGCTCCGGTTGCACGCCGTAACTAATACGGCGCTTGTCGAGCTCCTTGACTCGACGATGATGTGCGAGGATATCTTTATCGGCTCCGTCGAAGGCGTTTTTCAGGATATTGTCGTAGTGGTCGCGTGTGTCGCGAGAAGGCAGAAACGATGCAGTCGAGGTAGGCAATGGCATCGACTCCGAATCCCAGCGAAACGAGGACTCGGCAGACAGAGTACCGCTCAGAGTACCGTGAGTAGACGCAGATTTCAAAGAGCGGGCTGGCATCTCCGGAGAAAGAGACGGGCAAGGCAGAAAGCCGCTAGCAGTCAACGAGAGAGCTCCCGGTCCTACTTCGGGTACCGCAGAAGTAAGCAGCTTGATATCAGCATCTCGGTATAAGGACGTAGTATACTATCTTAAGCGCTCACCTATTATCAGTCAGTGTTATGTTCGGTAGCTTTGGAGTCTTGGGAAGAGCACCAGGCATGATCAGTGAGTCGGGAGGGGTCAGCTGGGCGCCAGAGGTAGACGCCTGAGGTTGACCGGTCTTCATAGGCGCAAAGGGCGTGATCGATAGGTTGCGCATGGATTGCGACAGCGTCGAGGTCGGAGACGGCGCTGGCTAGGTTGAAGCGCCCATTGCCGTTCGCGTCGGACGCCGTGTATCATCCACACGCTATCCAGGCACTGGCTTGACTGGTTGTTTGGTTTGGGCATTGATACGTGGGTTGTCTGGAGCGCACAGGTAAGCCAGGGTTGTACGGGTTGATGGGAACTTTTCACCTTCTACATCTGTGTCTCCATCACCGGTTGCGAAGAAGGCTTGGTCTGCGGGAGAAACACTCCTCCAGTATTCGCTCTGAATCAAGGTTAGGGACAACATATTGCGCGACATGACCCTCTACCTCAGAGTCAGACGTGCTCATTTGGTAGCCAAGAGAAGACAAGAAGGGAGAGACCAAGCGTAGAATGGTGGAAGCCGTGTTGTATAGGTCCTATAAGGA